AGCCACGTGATTAATATTTTGAGTTGTGAGACACATATTATATACAATATATCATTTATTATATCTCTTCTTCTTTTTTTCTTTGTTTTTCTCTCTCGTAGCTATGTGGCTTTCCAGATCTCATTACTGGCTAAACATGTTGATTAAGGGGAATATATATATTTTTTCAATTGGTGCATTTAAATAGTTAACCCAGACAGATCCAACTAGTGAGACCCCTGTCTTGTATTAATTAATGAAGGAGAGTCAACTAGTTCAAAGGTGAATGAACCATCAAATTTTCTATAGATCCTTTATTTGTCCATATAAATTGTTTTCACACGTACCTAAACACTCGTTATTAATTAATTGATATAGAGCAAAGCCTCTATGCTCCATGCATGTGATCTGTTTTTGATTTGACCGACTATATATCATACAACTTGCACCTAATTTAACTATATATGAACCTTTGGAGAAAGTGACTTTGATCTACCACGATAGTGAAAATTAATTAAATTCTAACATGATCGAGCTTGAGATTTTAAATGGCAGAAAAGGGAGTTTTGGATTGAACCAGTGTGTTTTTTTTTTGTTTTTTATTTTTTTATTTTAAAGAAACCACTTGCATGAAAATGTTTGAACGAGTGAGACTAGAATATTCAAAGAAGACCATAGGACAGAGAGTAGAATATCCAAAGGAGACCATATAGGGATCTGTCACTTTCGGATTCACGAAGCTTTTCATTCACCTGTTACAGTCGTCAGAAATGAAATTAGAAAAAATTTATTGGCTGTAAATTAGGAAGAACTTAATTTTTATTTATAATTACTGCTAAAAGTTTTATATCATCAGTTAATTATACATTTCCAAACCTAGACGTTCGGACTCATGAAAAATATTGATTAAAAATACTTCAATATTTTAATTAAAATAATATTTAAATATTTTATTATATATCATATATAAAAACAATTATAAATTACAATAAACTTTTGTAATAACAAAATTATAAACTTTTATGTCTAATAGAGTAGTGATAGACCTAATATAAAATGGTTAATTTACGACTCCGTAATTCCCGTCTCATACAGTCGCAAAGAGAACTAAAGAATAATAATATTTTTTCTTACACCAAAGAATACTGATCTATTAAGTTTCAGTAATATTTGTTTATGTTTAATTATCATTGTATATATGTATATTAAGTATGGCAAGTAAATTTGAATACAAGAGTATATGTATAATCTCGATCCAACTTTGACAGGTAAACTTTGTATATCGGTACGAATGCATATATAAAAATAAGTAATATTATTAGAATTCGACCGATGATTGAGTTAGTTAAAGTATTGGATTATTGAGGGAACTAGTGAGTTACTAGTTGAATAATATAAATCAGTATATTATTAAATATATAATTTATGTTAATGGTTTTGTCATATATTTTCAACTAATTTGTGGTGATATAGTGGTAATTAAGTTCTCTTTAAATAATCTAAGGGGGCTAACTTCTACTCCCTCTTATGCATATGGGCCAGTGGCTTTTTTAAAAAAAAGAAAAAATAAAAATTGTACGATGCATCAAGTCTTACTAACTCAAGGGTGCCTGAATTAAATTAGTATTGTCTTACTAAGTCAACGATCAATAGATTAATGTGTCCAAACTTACTCGAGTTAAACCAGTTCACATCGATTTATAAGCATATATGATCTAATACTTTGCACAAATCAGTTAGGTGTTTGATTCTCAGGTCAACTAATCGAACCAGTCGATTTAAGTTGAGTCTGATAACATTAACACACACACAAAAGTTAAATAATAATAATTAAATAACATAAAATTATACATCCAACTAAAAAATAAAAGGAATATCATATAATAGAGAGAGATAGAGATAGATAGATAAATAAAAGGAATATCATATAATAACTTTCTTACATGAAAATAAATTTAAAAAATTTAATTATTTGATTAAAATAGATGTAGATAATGATGACAACAACTAAAAAAAATTAATAATAATAATAATAATAATAATAGTGACAATAAAAATAATGATAATGATAAGAATAGTAACAATGATGATGTGATTTTAAGTGATTATTTTAAGAAAAATGTTAAATTACACTTTTGCACTCTTTAAATAGCTTCAATTTATTAAAAATCATAAAATTTGATGGTGAAATTATCTACTTTAATATTGAATTTTGTAATTCTCAAATTTTAACTAATAAAATAATATTTGTTTTTTTCTTATCAACAAAATACAAGAATGTGTTAAATGAAGTATATTAAATAATATGTTGTTAACCCTCATTTTCTTTTAATTAAGTCATTTGGTTTTAAGCCATTCTTATAAGATAACATTACCTCTAAAAATTAAAATACCAAAACAAATATCGTAAAAGATAAACAATCAAATTAAAATTTCACACGAAAATAGAAGATGAAAAAAATATTTAAACCAGGAATTAACTAAGAATAGGAAAGGGAGAAACGAAAGGTGAGATTGAAATGCAGCAGCACAACTCTTGAACAAGCATGTTATTTTGTTTTGAGTAGCATGGTGTTCTAAATTTAAGTTAGCAAATGACACAGGGATTAGGATTCTCTTCCACACTTGTGTAATAATAATGTGGTTGGCTCATCTGATTATGATAGGCTTCGCAGACCATCACAATACCAGGCATGTACTGATTTTGATCTTCTAGTTCTGGGGTCTCTGGCTTCTTTTCCTTGGCTGGTCCAACCGAGAGTATCTCAGTGTAACACAGTTTCCTCAGCTTGTCCACCACAACCACGGGGTCCATGTCTCCAGTTAAGGTCAATTCCTGGTCTTTCATATCCATAGAGACTGATTCAACCCCTGCAATAAATCATTCAATTTTGGATACTATAATATAAAACACACTTTTTGCTATGGTTTTTAATTTCTTCATTCGGTGAGTAACGAAATTACAAGAGATTGAAATTGAAATTCAAACCTGAAATATTGGAGACTGCTTTCATGGCTTTTTTCTTAATTTTGTCATCCTGTAGTTCCACCTTTAGCACAATTTTCTGCCATAAAGAAAAATAAAATAAAATAGAGAACTGTCTGTTAGTGTTAGGAGTTAGGACCCTTGTAATAAAAACTGGCAAAAATTATGAGAATAACATAACCGATCTTCACTGTAATTTTAAAAGGCGTGGTTGAAACTTTGACACGAGATCTCAAACTTTTGTCTCTCTAAGACTAACAGTGCTAGTACTTAAAAAATAAACATGAATGCAGAAATAATAGTTGATGATGAGTGATGCATGAAACTAGAAACTACAAAACTAAGAAGTGAGAAGAAATCTTTCTAACATTCATTGACGAGGCGTTGAAGGCTGCTAGCGAAAGCCAAAGGGTAATTGCGAAGCAGCCTGCTATGGAATTCACTAATGAAGCTCTGTTTGAAGATATTTAAAGAAAAATAAAATAAATCAACACAGGGAAACAGCGTATCAACCAACACTACACCAAAATAAATTTTTTGTGACAATTAATTTATTATTTAGCGGCCATATAAATAACCATTATTTTTTTACCAGCATTTAAATAAAGGCTGATGTATCAAGTGTCGCTAATACTATTACCGACATTTATATAAAATACTGGTAAAGATCTATTAAATTGTCAAAAAAAACTTATTTTTTTTAATGGCAATTCTAGTAACCATTTTAAAGGCTATTAAAAATTATTTTTTTCAATTGTCTCATTTACTTTAAATAATTTATTCTTATAATTTTCTTTTATAAATTCATAACTTATATAATTTTTTTTATCTCGATGTGAGATTTATAAGATGAGGGTTCTCTTTTATTTATATATTTTTTAGTTGTCTTGTTTCTTAAAAAATGTGAGATTTATAAGGTGAAAGTTGCTCTCTAATTATTTTATAACACTATTAAATTTGATAATAATTGATGATTTGATACCAATTTAGAAAAGTGAATTAAGAGTCAACCCTATAAAATGAACATGTAAGGTAATAATTATTACTCACTTATATACTATTTAATTATCTTATCTCTAATCGATGTGGGACTTAAGTTTTTTTTAACAAATAATTGTCACTAATAATAAACTTTAGTATAATATAAATACATTTTTAGTGGCTATTATATATTAGTCATTAATATTTTTATATATGGCGACAATTAAATTATTGTCATTAAATAATTGTCGTTAATAACAAATTTTGTTGTAGTGCAAGTCCTGGGATGATCCTTATAATTATAGTTTTTTTTAATATTATACTTAATTGTTGTCCTACTTTCTGTATAAAAAAAATTATATCTATATGTAATTTTTTTACTAAAGAAATCAATGGAGACCTCTTTCTTGGATCCATCCTTCTTAAGTCAATTAAGTTTATGAAGATTCTCAATAACAATGCCTTCGAGTGATACTAAGTTATAGTTTTTGAATATAATGTTTTTTTAATAACTATATTATTTATATGAAGTATCAGTTAATTTTTATTAATGATTATTCTTCATTAAAAAAATCTTATTAATTATTTTTGATGGAGTATTTCCTCTCAATTATGTGTTTTACATTTACAAAGTTTAAACCTGATAACATGTTTGAAGAGATTGATTCAGTTATGCTTGAATTAATAATTTGTTGATTTTAAATATAATACTTAATTGTATTGTTCTACTTTCTTGCATAAAAAAATCATCTTTAAAAATATAATCATTTTACTAAAAAAATTGTTGATTTTTTTTGTTACATATAAGCATCCTTTGTAAAAGAAAAATTAATTCAATAAAATAACACTATTACAAGACATTAAATTTAGAAGTTATTTTGTTTTTATTATAATCATGTAGTATTTTTTTTATCCATTGGAATTATAATGAATGCATTAGAGTTCGAACTTAATACGGTACATATTACCTCAATCTCTTGATATATCTATTATCTATCATTGTATCCTAATATGACACTCTTACCAGAATGGTAAAAAATATGTATTCATCAAAATTTCTAAGAGTTTGTTTACATTGAGTTTTTTTTTTTTTTTATTTTATAATATATCCACAGTAAGACTAACTCCTATAGATTTAGACTTTTAGTAAGCTTTCCCAAATATCATAATCAACACTTTAAGAGTTGATTCTTAAGAGTAAGTCACTGATGTGTGTAAAGTTTTTATAGAGAACAATAACTAAAAACTTTTATGCATGTGGTCTCCAAACATAAAAACAAAAAAGCTTGAAATATCGAAAGAAACACACGTGCACTTAAATTTACTCGATCGCCGAATTTTTCATAGTTGTGACATATGAATAAGACATCAATGTTCAGCATAAATTTTAATTTACGTTTAAAACCAACAAAATCTAATCCTGTACTCCATAATACTCTTACTGGTTTGGCCACACTATCCCTCATTATAAATCATAAAAAACAAACGGAGAAAGGGAGAAAAAATACATAATTTTTTCGATTATTTTTCTGAATTAAATGCACTCAGTAATAAAAAAATTTAGCTGATGACACAGCTATTAGGATCCTCTTCCACACATATGGCACTGTAATAAGGATTGTATTGTGGTTTCATCTGATAATAATAGGCACAGGTTGGGTAGAACTTGAGTGGATCTATCACATTGTCTTTTGTTGAATCTTTCTTCTGATCTTCCTTCTTTTTATCATCTTTCTTAGGATCTTCCTTCTTTTCCTCTTTTGCTGGTCCAACAGAAACTATTTCTGTGCGACAAAGCTTCCTTAGCTTGGCTACTACTTGAACTGGATCGATGTCCCCAGTTAAGGTCAATTTCTTGTCTTTCATGTCCACAGAAACTGACTCAACCCCTGCAACAATATTTCAAATGCAATTTTAGTATACCACTAAATATAAGAGAATCATTGATGCTATATGATATGGACTTTGTTTCTTGAAACACTTTATTGCAATATATTATTTTCTTTTCTCTTTATTTTGTCTTCATTTTGATTTTGATTTCCTCCTTTTCTCAATTGGTCAGAGCATTGAAAGCAGAGAAGCCAAAGAGAGGTGGAACATAAGAAGTTGAGATTCAATTCAATTGAATACCTGAAATGCCAGAGACAGCCTTCATGGCTTTTGTCTTGATTTTGTCTTCATGCATTTCCACCTTCAACACAACTTTCTGTTACAGAAAAATCAAACAGTTGTTAGGACTACTCAACAGTCTAGTTTGAATATGCAAGGAAAGGATCAAAGACAAAGCACAGGTTGAAATTGGAAGACTGACCTTCATTGTCATTGATGTTTCTGAGAGCTGAGGTAGAAGGAGTGTTAGTAAAAATTGTGGAAGAGGAAGAGATAGTGTTTGGATTTCAAAATGTTGTGAAATGATAATAAGGTTCAGGAACATTTATAGTACTTGGTAAAGAGACAGGCAGAGTCAAGTCAATCCAACAAGTCCATGAATGCTATTGTTTTCCCATCTATACTCATTGTTTGTTTGGTACTGTAAGTATTTTTTAATTTTTAGTTTCTAGAAATTTAAAGATTAGATTACAATGTTTGGTATAATTTTTTTTAAAAAGTATTTATGGAATGACATCATATATGTTACTGTCTTTAAATTCCATCAGAGAATGGCAACTGTTGTGGCTTTTGGTCTATCTAAATTTCTTTGTTATTAATTTTTTAAAAACCTTATTTATAATTAAATACATAAAATGATAGTATTTAGTTGTTTAATTGAAAAAGTTGGGTAAGCTGAAATATTTAGGTGAAAGGTGTGGCGCGGAAAGTTTCGAGGAAAGCATGAGGGTATTTCGTGTTTAAATTCGTAGAAAATGACATGAGTGGGTGAGAAGAAGTCTTGGTGATGATGATATTGAGGACTGCGTTGTTTCGTTGCATATTCGTCTCCGCGTCTGACTGCTTCATCCTTCACTATTTAGGTGCATGTCACGTGTACAATTTAAACTTCGGTTCTCTTTGGATAAACCTTTTTACAATTAGAAAAAAAAAAATTCTATATAATTTAAAATTAACATAATTATTATATCAAAAGAGGATGTTGAATTCATCAAGGTATCAATTTTAATATTAACAAATTTAGACTTTTTTAAAGAGATGAATTATAATATGACGATTTATTATTATGATATAATCTATAAATTATATTGATTATAAGACAAATGCATTTAATATATATATATATATATATTATTTATAATGTTTAATAACTAAATTATATTTATTTATGTTATTGCTTAACAAATCAAAATGAATAAAAAATTTTTTTTGGTATTTCAGAAAGAAATGAAGACGTACTTTTCATCATAAAAAGGACAAACAAATTAATCCTTTAAAACATTTGAAGTCTAAGAAAAAGTTATTTTTGATCGAGACATCCACCAATTCCTTCCATTAGTATTTTAAGGCTTTGTTTGGGGAGGAAGGAATAGAAGAGAATATGTGAAAATTGATTTAATAAGAATTAAATAAGAAATTGAGTGAAATAGAATGAAATTTGTAGTTGTTTGTTTGAGTGAAATTAAGTGCGAAATATATTAAATTTAATATTTATAATTATTATTTTGCCCTCACTTTATAATATATAGAATTAATATTTTTAATTTTATGTAATTTTATACATTTTTCAAAATCCACAAAAATCTCCTCGATGGAGAAGGTATAAAAAATAATGTGGAACATACTTCTAATAATTCCTCACAATTCTCTTTAAATACCTCTACCAAACATTTTTTTTCTCAAATTCACTCTAATCCACTATTATCCATCCCCTCCCTATTAAATCACCTCCACCAAATAAAGGTTAAAGATGATAAGTAGTTTCTTTAAGTATATAAGAAGTGACAATTTGGTAAAATATATTTAATGTGTCAACAGACACTTCTCTCCACAAGGAAGGAAAATAAAGATAGATGAAACAACTCTATGAGAGATATTAAAGGATTTGTAATGATCATTTTCATGAAACACCTATAAAAAGAAGCTTGAAGACTTAGAAAGAAGAAAAAAAAAAGAAGAACATTCATTAAAAAATATATTCATTCTTTATGTAAAAAGCTTTGTACTTAATTTGATTGTATTATGTCTTAACAGTAAGACAAAGCAATTAGTAATTTTTTAACTTTAACTTTGTATTATTACGTGTAGTTTGAAGATCGTTTTATTGTAAAGAATAACTTGGTAGTTGAAGTCTAGAAAAATTTTATTTTAAAGAATACTTAGTTGTTGAAACTTGAAGAGAGTTCATTGTTCAAAAAATATTTAGATAATAACTTGAAAAGACAAGTCAAAAAATACTTAAGTTAAACAAGAAATGACATGTAAAAAAATTAGAAGAGAACAAATTTTCTTTGAAAATATTAAGTTTTTCTTATAAGAAAATAACTTTTGAACTCAACATTCTAAACATACAAATAAATATTTTTCAAGGTGTTATTCTGAACAAGAAAAACATTTCTAAAGAACTTTCATTTTGAAGACATCAATCATTTACTTTATTAAGAATTGTCTTGAGTAAGAATTCAAAATTTTAATGGCATAAAAGTTTTTCAATTTTATTTTAAGCATTATAATACAGTTAAAAGATTGTTTGGCCGTTGGAGTGTGATCTCATCTAAAATGAGAGTTGAAGAAACCTTAAGCAATATCTCTTGGCAAGATATTGATGTATTATTAGGACGTGTCCTTCGTCCGATTCCATTCACCTTTTCTTTTTCCTCTTTCAATAACCTTAGAAACCAAATAGGAAGTTAAAGGACTAAATCCTAATTCTCGTGAATATGATCAAAAGTCCCCTAAGAGATGGAATATAGTCTAGACTCAACACGTGACAACAGGAAAAAAAATAATATAGAAGGGGATGTCATTTAGGGTTTTTTTTTTTTTTTCTGGTCATTTTAGGAAATATTTGTTCTTATGAACAGTCTCTCTGTTCAAATGAAACTTGCTCTCGTTATTTCTTTCATCCCATAGATGTCTAAACTTTCAACCAAACTGAGTCAAGGTTCGAGGTTAGTTACTTGACCATCCTGCTAGCCACGTTCCAGTGCTAGAATGACCATAATAATTACCTTGTAGAATCAACTTAAGGGAGTGAATCAAACAAAAGTAAGCCAAACAAGTAAGATTACATAAGAAATGAAGAACAAGTGCTAAAGTAATAATGCTCAATTAGGAGAAACAAACAAGCGGTGGAAATAAAAAGCTTAGGAAACACATGTGGAAAGAGAGTTGCCATTCTGAGGGTCAGGCTTAATCTTGCAGTGTACAATCTTAAAAAATCACAGAGATCTGAAGCACAACATTGTTATCCTTTAAGCATGCTAACTTAGGGGAGCATTTGATTTATTCCAAGTTGGCTTAAGATCCACTTTATGTAATAGACTATCTTGATCCAAAATGTCACCTCAACCTGTAATTGAAAATGTTGACTAAAGTCAAGTCAAGCATAGGATCCTTAGTATACAATTTTGAGAGTGGGTACCCCATCTCAAAATAAAGTTGCCTTGTAGTTACATTAAGGTAGAGTAGTGTGTCTCTATGACAAAGATAAGTATTTATAATGTCATAAATGTCCTTATAATAAAGAATAAGTATTTATTAAATATTATCAAATAAAATTATTAGGAAAATTTTCACTTAGATCTGTTTAAATTATCTTTCTCTAATTTTTTAAAATCACTCAGTTTTCTTAGAATAATATCATTAGTTCAAGTGGAAAAAAGGAAAAAAGATAAAAATTAATTCATTTTATGCTAATTATATATAAGTCTACCATTTAATTTTAAATTACAAACAATGATTTGTTTTCTTCATAAAAATTTGCATTGCTCTTCAATTTCAAAAATAATAATTTCTTAGTTTATTATTTGGATTGTTCCTTATTTTTTTAAAATCACAATATACATATATTTAATATATAATTTAGAAGTTAAAATGGAGTAAGAGATCAAGTCACGCTCAATTTTTAATACTTATATTAATAATTTATTATTTATTAATAATGCACAAATGATATTATTTTATCAATTTTTAATACTTATATTAATAATTTATTATTTATTAATAATGCACAAATGATATTATTTTATATAAAAGGTTGTATGTATCATTTAATTAAATAAATAAAGAAGATAAATATTCACTTAAAAATTAGAGAGAGAAAATCGTATCATTTGAAAAATATGGAGAGACACTAATGCAATTTTCGCAAATCATTATTAACTAGCTAGAATGTCTAAACGTCTTTTGTAACTATTCATCATTGTTTAGAGTCTCAATTTTATTGGAGTACTAGTAGCAAACTCGTGCCTTCGCACGCTTAATTGATTGTATTTACACAATTTAAATTAGAATAAATATTATTTTTAAGGTAAATTTTTCTCTTTTTATATTATAAATAGTCCCTTATTTGTGATGATGAATAAATAATCAGGTCTAAAAATGATGTATAACATACAATAAATTCCAAAAATTAATTTTTTATAAGATAGAAAATCCATTTAACATCATCAATACATAAACTTAAGTGACATCATTCGTTTATCAGCAAATCATTCATCTCCCAGCAAAAGACTTTCATGAAACATCCCAAAAAACAAACATAATATTTTAGAATGTATCATAAATTTAAAAAATTACATGCCCTTTTATTTGAAAACTTTTACATGTACATTTTTTTTCATAATACTTTGTTAGGGAAAAAAAGATATTTTTATTTGATTAGCATTATTTCTATATTCGAACATCTTTCACATAATTAATCTTAACTATTCATCATTGTTTAGAGTCTCAATTTTATTGGAGTACTAGTAGCAAACTCGTGCCTTCGCACTTGTATTTAAACAAATTAAATTAGAATAAATATTATTTTAAAGGTAAATTTTTCTCTTTTTTATATTATAAATAGTCCCTTATTTGTGGTGAATAAATAATCAAGTCTAAAAGTGATGTATAACATATACAATAAATTCCAAAAATTAATTTTTTATAAGATAGAAAATCCATTTAACATCTTCAATACATAAACTTAAGTGACATCATTCGTTTATCAGCAAATCACTCATCTCCCAACAAAAGATTTTCATGAAACATCCCAAAAAAACAAAAATAATATTTTAGAATGTATCATAAATTTAAAAAATTACATGCCCTTTATTTGAAAACTTTTACATGTACATTTTTGTCATAATACTTTGTTAGGGAAGAAAGATATTTTTATTTGATTAGCATTATTTCTATATTCGAACATCTTTCACATAATTTAATTTATATTGAAGCTAATAATTATATATTGAATATTTTAAAATTTGCTCAATTAATCTTATTTTATCCAATTTTGTTATTTTGTTTCATAAATCTCTAATATTTTTATTTTAATACATTTATTCTTTC